GCTGCTACCAGCAGTTAATAGGCTTATTCTCATTCTTTTAGACAACCCCACATATAAACATCTTAGCTGTGGGTCAAACAATTCCATTTATAAGCCCCTAAAGTTAAAGATCAGAGAGAGTCTCTGCTAAAAGAGCAGATTCGGTACTAATTCACCTTTTGTTTCTGCTAGCTAGTCTTAAGATTTAATTCAGTTGGTTTCTAATACTATTTTCAGTAATATAAAAGTCTTATTCGTGCAGGTAAAGTTGTACATACATGTAAATGTTTTTATTAAAAATCACACTCTTCTTTTGGGTTAGATTTTTGAGTTATTTTGAAATTAACTAAGGACCAATTCTTATCAAGAGCCAACTGGAGCTAAAGATGAAGTAAACAGGAATAGGCAGATTCAGCTCAAGAGAAAATCAACACTTTTCAACATTATACACGGCACTTAAGCAGCTAATTCCAAGTAACAGATTATTTCAGGCTGCTCAGAAAACATAAAAATGTTTCATATTCTCCAGTTTGGGTAAGCTATCCACAACAATGGAGTAATCCAAGACACCAACTCCAGTATATTTCTTGGCTCATTCCCTAGATCTATGGGTTGCTCACAAAACAAACCCAATTTCCCAGGAGATTCCAACATGTAGAACAATTCCTAAATCGTTCTGAGTAATTCAGAGTCGTACTACTTTACAAGTTCTATGATATAAAACCTGTATTCATTCATCTATCTTTGGAACTGAAGGTCATGTGCTGTGTTCAAGTCCTGTCAAAGTTGCAGCTGGCAGTAGCCTATCTTCTGGCTAACTATGATCATAAACTGAAGCAACATAAGGGAAGAGGCAGAAACAGACCAAACAGAGGTGCCACATTTCACTGTTCCAAATGGGACACTAAATGAATCACCAGCATATGCAGATGCCTTACATTGCAGGTAAACATAAATCTCAAGAAAGAACACAGGAAAGGGGAGTTATATGGTTTAACAACTTACTGGTTATTGGCACTTGGGCAGATCACTCAGCCTCTCTATACTTTTAGCTCTCATCTCCAAAAACACCTAAAATAGTGGTTTTGTTTTAACTATTATATTCCTAAAAGAGTAAAATTAATGTCTCTAACAATGCCTAGTATATAGTAAACTCTGAAGCACTTTTAAAAGATGCATGTAGGAGCTGGGAGCCAGTTGCTTGTGCCTGTAATCCTAGCTATTCAGGAGGCTGAGAGCTAAGGATCACATTTCAAAGCCAACCCAGGCCGAAAAATTCATGAGACTCATCTCTAACTAACCACCAAAAAATAAAACCAAACAAAAAGGCCAAAAGTGGGATTGTGGCTGAAGTGGTAGAGTACCAGACTTGAGTTAAAAAAAAAGCTAAAGGACAGCACCTAGGCCCTGAGTTCAAGCCCAGTACACACGTACACACACGTATGTACACACACACATACACACACACACACAAAATGCAAGGTGGAATATAGAATAAGTGCTTATATACAAAAGATGCAAGCTCTATTTTTAAGACATAAGCATGAATCTTTTTAAGTTTTCTTCAAGTAAAGGCTAATTTTTCTTCTAATATGGCACAGATTAAGGTCAGCTCTATGAAGATCTCACTTGAATCAGTTTATCAAGATTAAAGATAAAACTTAATTTAGTTTTGCATAATACTTTAACCTATTCCACTTAAAATATAGCTAACCCACCAAGGGAACAGCAAGATTGCTCTAGTTATTCATTTAGCCTCTTTCCTGCTAGCGAGAAAGGGTCTCTAAAGGCTACATAATTAAGAGTGGTTAATATAAGACAGGAAGGTAATGAAATTTGGAAGCTTTTTTTAAAAAAAAGTCTCAAGTCAAATACTTGAAAATTCAAATCAGTTATGTTTTAGTAACTTAAAGACTTAGTAATTTTCCTTAAAAATTGTAATACACTGAGCTATTTAAATAATGGTACTAGGAAACACTTAAAATGGAGGCAAAAACTACCTCTAATTTGGTTCCAAACACTCACTTGATAGACAAGCACAAGTACAGGTTAGCCATCTAAGAGTTTATAAGTTACCAATCTGAGCTGAGAGCCACTTCTAGAAGTAGAAATAGATGGGTCACACACTGTTTAACTTGCTTGTCCTCCTCCAAACAGTAAGGACAACCCCCTGATCCTTGCTTGCCAGGTATGAAAGGATAAAGGGAAAATTCAGGGAATGTTTTAATTTTATTGTGAGGCTAGTTAGCAAAGTATTGTGATTATCAACAGTGGGATAACTATAACTAAAAGGGTGAATTTCACTGCATGTAAATTACACCTTAAAATGAAAAAAAAATTGCCTATTAAAAATTTTAATGTTTATGTGGAGACTGGGTGTGGTGGTGCATACCTGTTATCCCAGCAGTCAGGAAGTAGAAGCTTGTGATCCTATCTCAAAAAACCAAAAGTGCATGTCCTTTAAAACAAATTCTATGAAAGGTTTCAAGTTCAAATGCTTGAATATACTAGCACAATCAAGCTATTAGAACATTTTCCAGTTCTACCCCAGTGGTAGAACACTTGTCTATATGTGCCACGACACAGTCAGTAACACACACACACACACACACACACACACACACACACACACACACACTCACATTAGCTGACCTGACAGTGAAGGCCCTCATAGAAGTTGACTACCTATGACTTCTCTTTCTCTCAACTCAATTTTAGTTTGGTTTCTACAAATGTAGGAAAAATATTTATTAGAAAGAATAATTTTAATATGCCTTAGCCATGAAGTCCAACTCATTTAAGTGATGTAATTAAAAAACAAATTCATAGGAAGACTTTATGTACTACAAAACCTATGAAAGCCAGGTGCCAATGGCTCACACCCCTAATCCTAGCTACTCAGGAAGCTGAGATCGGAGGATGGAGGTTCACATGAAAAAGTCCCTCTGCCATTCACACCCAGCCCATCAGCTGTCAAATATCAACAAAGACAAAGTTTTTGCTAATGTGAGCTATAATCTATCCACATTAGAAATCAAAACAGAAATATAAAAATATATTTATTAACCCACTTAACCCCATAACATATAAATATAAATACCACTTTTATGAAAAATAATTCTTTTCACAAAGTTAAGAAGGATGGGATGATTTCATGTGGTTTTTGTTTTGTTTTGTTTGGTCAGTCATGGGGCTTGACCTCTGGGCCTGTGTGCAGTCCCTGAGCGATTTAGCTCAAGGCCAGTGCTCTACCATTTGAGCTACAGTACCACGTCTGGTTTTCTGGTGGGTAACTGGAGATAAGAGTCTCACAGACTTTCCTGCCCAGGTTGGCTTTGAATTGTGATCTTCTAATCTCAGCCTCCTGAGTAGCTAGGATTACAGGCGTAGACACCAGTGCCCAGCTTTGTGTGTCTTTTTAAACTCTCTAATGGGTCAAATAACAGACCTCAAGTCAGCTTCTGCAATGAGCCCAACAACTGGGAGTGAATTCTGGCTGCCGATGCTAGCACTGCCTTGATTTTGTGGTAATATATCATATCACATGATAGAATTACATCACAATTCAGTAAAACAAAATAATGAGACATGCCAATGTCCTATATGTCAAATCTCCTCCTTTCAATACCTAAAGGCAGAAATGTTAACTGTATTTGTATCATCACTTAATGAAATACCTTCACATATATTATTTAAAATTTCACAACCCTATGAAGTTAGTACAGATGATCATTAACATTTATAGGTAAGAAAGGTAAAAGTTCTAGGAGGAAAAAAAATGACTTGCTCCAAATTGCACAACTAGGAAGATGTACTACCAGAAACTACAGACAAAACTCTTTTAGGTTCAAATCAAATTTACTCATTGATAAATACTATATCAAAACTAGCAAAATAAAAATGTTATGGTTTTCTCCTTTTTTTTTTAATTGGTTGTGGGGCTTGAACTCTGGGCCTCAACATTGTCCCTCAGCTCTTCAGCTCAAGGCTAGTGCTCTACCACTTAAGCCACAGCGCCACTTTCGCTTTTCTGGTGGTTTATTGGAAATAAAAGTCTCGCAGACTTTCCCGCTTGGGTTTGCTTTGAACCACAATCCTCAGACCTCAGCTTCCTTAGTAGCTAGGATTACAGGCATGAGTCATGGGCACCTGGCTAGTTTTAATCAATTTTTAGAACTGATTTGATAAAATTATCTCTAACTTTTAATGTTGAACAAGAAAATACAAAATGAACTGAATGCAAAAAAAGATATTATTTTTGCTTTTTGATACAACGATATAATCCTCTAGGAAGATTGAACTGTACCCAAAACAACAGTTAAAATTTATTAAAACCTTTATCGAACACAGCTACATTACAGAATTAGGAATTCAATTTCAAAAGTCCTTTATTTAGGCATTAACATTAAATGCCTACCACCCTTAATCTAAGGACTGCTGAGAGCTTACACATACATGCTACCCAGGTACAGCACGGTCATCCTGAAGCTCCTGAAGGGAACATAAGAAATACCTCCAAACGCCCATATTTTACAATCATAATGTTCAATATAATTATTATTTAAATTCTTTTATAAAAGAATTGCAGAAAAAAAGTTTTATTTCACTCCAATCTAACTAAAACATGCTTTCCCCCCCCCCCCCCACCACTAAGGCAGTGCCATGGGGTCCAACAAATTTAAGTGATACTTCTATCATACACTAGATTGAAATATGAAAAATGAATTTAGTGTAAAATATTCCTATTCAAGGGACTCTTGCCTGGATCTTAATTACCTCAATTTACAAATAATAATACAGAAAAAATTTTGAAGCTATGTTTAAGTTACTCTTTATAATATCTCCTGACAAATATGTAGACTTTCCTTCAGCTTACTCTTCCTAAATACAGAACACCTGTACCTGTTCTCAACCCATCCTATGAGAAAGCTGAGAGCCTTTAGAAAGTTAGTTGGCACTCAAGTTCACCTAAGCAGGACTGCAAAGATGTACTACTAGAAATATTTGAGCTTTTCTCTTACCTCTGTTTCTGTACAATGTGAATATCCCAATTTACCTGTAATAAAAATACAAAAGGTTATTTCCAAAGAACCTGAGGTTTTTAAAACCATTGATAAATATATTTAAGTTACTCAAGTAACTTATGAAAGATGACATCATCAAAAAATGTACTCTTTACCCAATTTATGTAACTGTAACCCTTCTGTACCTTTTTCTTTTCTTTTTTTTCTTTTTTTTTTATTGTGGGGCCTGAACTCTAGGTTTGGGCGCCATCCTTAAGCTCTTCAGCTCAAGGTTAGAGCTCTACTACTTGAGCCACAGCACCACTTCTGGCTTTTTCTGCTTATGTGGTGCTGAGGAATCAAACCCAGGGCCTCGTACATGCAAGTCAAGAACTCTACCACTGTGCCACCTTCCCAGCCCCCTCTCTACCTTTATAATAAAAATAATTTTTTTAAAAAGTGCCTAGAATGACCAAATACCAAAAGATCTTGCTCAGAGATTTAATCAAAGGAAAATAAAAAATCTTTTAAAGTCTTGCTTTTTAAATACCCTAAAATGGTTTAAAGGCATTTAGAACATACTCTAAGAAAACTTTTTAAAGACTCTTGGACTTTATACCAAATATATTCCCATTTGTTTCAAAGTATTTTCCATTATACAGCTGGTTGCCTTTCTTTAATATATGATTAGATAACATCATATAGTTTAGTAATTCTTCCAATACGGATCACCCAAAGAATAAATAGAACTGGCTGGGTGTGGTGGTGCATGCCTTTAACCCCAGCACTCTGGAGGCTCAGGTGAGACACTCCAGTTCAAGGTCCAGGCCACCCTGAGCTATGTAGCAGTGAGGCATCATGTCTAAAAGCAAATACACACATACACACAAAACAAACTAGAACTTTAACAATACTTTACTAACCCACATTGTAGTTGGTATACGTACAATTCTATATTTCTGTCAATTTGAGTAACTAAAACATTTTAAAATAAAAGGGGCTACTTAAAGAGAGAATAATACTTTAACAAAAAGAACTGATAACTCCTGTATAGTCGGTATTATGAAATTTAATTTCCCTCATCTCCACTTCTTAAGTGTTGTCATTGTCTTAGGTACCTGCACAGCCTCCCCTCCCCCGACACTGCCCTCCTCACCATGCCAGCCTTCCTTTCCCAGTCTCTTACTCCAGGCCTACTCCAGAAGACTGAACTGAGAGCCTCTCATTTACTAGGCAAGTACTCTACCACCACCAGCCTGTGGGGTTTTCTGAGGTATAATACTGTTGCCTTGCCCAGGCTGCCCTCAAGCTCATGGTCCCTCTGCCTCTGCTTCCCATTTAGCTAGATTTACAGATCTATGCCACCATATTCAGCCTTTTTTTCTCTTCAAATACTAGAATTCACACACCTTAAGAGTCCACCACTAAAGAAAAATCATGCTTTTTATTTGCCACCCAATTCTTAAAAAAAAAAAAAAAAGCTGATATAATTTCTCATCACTATCCTAATATGAAACACTGTTAAAACTTCAGACCAGAGAAACCAGATGCCAGTGGCTCATGCCTGTCTGTAATCCTAGCTACTCGGGAAGCTGAGCTCTAAGGAACAAGGCTTGAAGCCTTATATAGTAAGATTTGATTAACATATAACTTTGATTAATACATGATTTATGCTGGGTGATGGTGGCTCACACCTGTAGTCTTAGCTACTCAGGAAGCTGAGATCTGAGGACTATAGTTCAAAGCCAGCCCTAACAGGAAAGTCTATGAGACCCTTATCTCCAATTATCCACCAAAAAGCCAGAAGTAGAGACATTGCTCAAGTGATAGAATGCTAGCCTTGAGCAAAAAAAGCTCAGGAACAGAGCCTATGCACTTAGTTCAGGTCCCAGGACTGGCATGTGCACACATATGTACATATGTGCACACACACACACACTCAAAATATACATACATATCACATATATTTGTGATACAAAATTACATTAGTATGTCATATATTATTTATATATACTACATATATAGTTATACATTCTGTCCTTTATTCACACTATTAAGCTTTTACTCCTTTAGAATTGATAATTGAACTAGAAAGGTACTACTACTGGATAGGAATAGCTCAAATAAAGGCATAGCATACCTCTCAGCAAACATGACCTGTGTGCCTACTCTGCACAGGAAGAACGGAGGTACCAGAGCAGACTTCACCAGAGGAGACCAACAACACTAAGAACACATGGATGTACATCTCAATAGGACATATTCTAAAGAAAAGAGGCCAGCCGGGCGCTGGTGGCTCACGCCTGTAATCCTAGCTACTCAGGAGGCTGAGATCTGAGGATCGCGGTTCAAAGCCAGCCCGGGCAGGAAAGATGGTGAGACTCCTATCTCCAATAAACCACCAGAAAACCGGAAGTGGCGCTGTAGCTCAAGTGGTAGAGCGCTCGCCTTGAGCTGAAGAGCTGAGGGACAGCGCCCAGGCCCAGAGTTCAAGCCCCACAACCGAGCAGAAAAAAAAAAAAAAAAAAAAAAAAAAAAAAAAAAAAAAAAGAAAAGAGGCCACTAGAGTTCAGGTACTAGATGGGTAATTAATTGTAGTCTCCATTTTGCAAATGTTACATTACTAAGCAAACGATAAACTCAGTGATGAAGAAATCTACAAACCTAACATGAGGGAGGAAGAGGAAAAGCTCTACAGAAGTATTAACCAGAAACAAGAATTACCCAGCTTCAAAAACCATACATTTGCCAGGCACCAGTGGCTCACGCCTGTAATCCTCACTACTCAGGAAGCTGAGATCTGAGGATCGCGGATCAAAGCCAGCCCAGGCAAGAAAGCAAGAAAGTCTGTGAGACTGTTATTTCCAATAAACCACTCAGAAAACAAAGTGGCACTGTGGCTCAAGTGGTAGAGCTCTAGCCTTGAGCTGAATTGCTGAGGGACAGCGCCCAGGCCCAAAGTTCAAGCCCCACAACTGGATAAAAAAACAAGCAAAAAAAAAACAAACAAACATACATACATACATACATACATTTCCTAGTACTGCCCACCAAAAATGGAAGAACCTTATTCTGCAGGAGCATACATAGACCCATTCCCCCTCAACAGGATGGATTCCTCCTGAGATTGACTGACTTCAAGGTTGCACAGGGAAATGACAACAAAAGCCAGAACATCTTTCTTCCACTAGAAAATAATGAAATACTTGAGGAATGATAGGGTGATGTTAAAAGGGCATGAGTCCCTTGAAATTAAATTCCTGTCGATGACTTCTGTTACAATACTCAAAATGCTTTCCTGCAAGGATGCCAAAGCTTTTTGTGGAATGTGCAACTGCTCTTGGTTATCCACTGAGAATTCGTGAGTACCTCATGAAACTATGCTAAGGTTATAAGCACAAAGGGTCTGCCACCTACACAACTCTTCCCTCTACATCTCTGCCCATCTGCTGACCCACAAACCAGAAATCCCAATCTCATGACATCAGAGCTTAAAGGAATCATGGGAGTGACCTTGCCCAACTCATTCATTTTACAGACGAATAATCTGACAGGCTGACTCTGCACATAACCAGAGTGGGTGGCAGGGCTAGAAGGACAGCCAAGGCTCTGGATGCCTTGTCATGAGGGCTGGTGCAATTTTCTTAGCCCACTCATCCATTCCCACTCCCACTGGAGACAGGGGAAGAATATGAAAGAGTGCTGTCCCTGCTAACTAGCTTTTGGGGAAATACATTCCTCCAATACTAACTTAAGTTGGAAACTGCCAGTACAGCACCAAGAGATTTTCATTTGGCCACTTTTGAGTCTTTCTTCAAGGGCTGGCCACCTTGTCTTACAGAACTAAGGAAATCCTCTCAAATCTAGAATTACCCTGACTCTACATTCTACAATACAAGCTGATGGTAGGCCTTAACGTTACAGTTACTGTGAGCTAGTTCTCCCAATTAAGTAATTACTTCACATTAGCTCATACAAAAGATCTGAAATGGTATTTAAACAAAATCATTAAAAAGTACTTATGTACTAGATTTTCTCAAGAAGCTAGAAGTATGAAAGTTCAGCTCTGTGGGGAGGTTTTGTTTGGTTGGGGTTTTTTTTGTTGTTTTTGGTGCCAGTATTGGGGCTTGAACTCAGGGCCTAGGTGCTGTCCCTTAGTTTTTCTGTTCAAGGCTGGTGCTCTACCACTTGAACCTCAGCTCCACTTCTAGCTTTTGGGTGGTTCACTGGAGATAAGACTCTCATTGACTTTCCTGCCTGGGCTGGCTTTGCACCATAATCTCATATATCAGCCTCCTGAGTAGCTAGGATTAGAGGCATGAGCCACTGACACCTAGCAGCTCAGTACTTCTTAAAAGGCTTGGGCGGGCCGGGAAGGTGGCTCAGTGGTAGAGCGCTTGCCTTGCACGCATGAGGGCCTGGGTTCGATTCCTCAGCACCACATAAGCAAAAACAAAAAAGCTGGAAGTGGCGCAGTGGCTCAAGTGGTAGAGCGCTAGCCTTGAGCTGAAGAGCTGAGGGACAGCGCCCAGGCCCAGAGTTCAGGCCCCACAACCGGACCAAAATCAATCAATCAATCAATCAATAAAAGGCCTGGGCATTTTAATACTGCTACATCACCTGAAAGATCTGCTCTTCTCTAAAGACTGGCTAGGTGAGATCCTTATAGCCCATGACAATACCTTTCTATAAACTGATATAAAACTAGCCCAGGTATAAAACAACTGTCATAAAGATTTCACCAAGACTTTCAGTCTTCACTGTCTATAACCAAGTAATTCCATTTGGCAGAACAGGAAGTTACCAGAAAGAACACCCTGTGAATGCGCACTGGCAGGCCCACTCCATCTTAGCTGTTCAGGATTCAGTCATTACACACTTGCTGCTCACCTTAGTGAGAGATCGCACGTTCTAACAAACCATACAACCTTTCAACAAAAAGTAAAGCAGTGCCGGGTGCCGGTGGCTCACACCTGTAATCCTAGCTACTCAGGAGGCTGAGATCGCAGTTCAAAGCCAGCCGGGGCAGGAAAAGTCTGTGAGACTCTTATCT